TTTCTTTCTTTTTTTTTTTTTTTGTTTTTGTTTTTGTACCAAGCTCGCTGATCTGTTGTCGACACGCCACGGTAAGAGAAACAGAGTTCTAACAATAAGAGAAACAGAGGAAATTACGATGAAACGCGAAAAACGGGACTACAAGTTCAAGGGGAAATTCTTAAAGAATAAGATCTACGAGTAGAAAGACAATCTAATGAGAAAATGCAACCTTTGGGATACACCGGCACAAAGAAAAATTCTATTATTTGCACGCGAGGAAACAGAGAAGCGAAGCTGGTTGAAAATTTGAGAAACCTGTTGGAATGAAAATTTACTTTTACGGTGTAATTAGAGCGAGCCAACAACGAATTTCAATTTCCGTTTAAACGTGCTTCAAATCATACATGAAAGATTACAAGTTATTCCCTCCTTCTAAACTGTTAATTAAAAAATTGTACAAACTTCGCTTCGAGTATCCCCGCGATTAAGCGAGGATTTTAATTGCAAATATTCCCCCTCCCGCCGTCCGCGCGAGATACACTTCAATTTACAACGAAGCATCGTCGAAGAAAATCTTCCCGGAGATAAATTTCAAGATTTACAAGAGAAGCACGCAAGTACGGAGAACAAATACGAGGAAAGAAAAGATGGAACCTCAACGACGCCGGTGCATCCGAAGCCGCATTTGCCAGAAACCGGTAATAAACTTCCATTTCATGACGCGTTTACGTCCGAATAACAACGCCGTTCTTCCTATTTCTACCTCCTCGATATTTTCCTCCTCTCGTCCTCTCCTCTTGCATTTCTTTCTTTTTTCTTTCTCTTTTTCTTTTTTTTTTTTTTNTTTTTCGTTCGCTAAACATCGCGGTGGGGAATCCGCCGCCGATAAAGCGAAAGAGCAAAACAGCCAGAGAAATAGAGAGAGGGAGAGAGAGAAAGAATAATCTAACCGTACGTCATCTCTCGTAGGTAAGATAAAAACTTTGGAGAAATGTAGCCTGCGCTAGCTGTGGTTCCACCGCGCCGTCAGGATGATGGAAATTCCAGCAAACGCCGCGAGGAAACTGTGGAAAACGCTACGAAATTATCGTAGTTTCCGCGAAGATTTAGGCTTCTAACGTACACTCGAACGTGCACGTCTGAAAACGCTTATCGCGTTGCAGTAAGCACGTTAGCCGGAATATTAATTTCGCTAACATCGGATGGGACACGGATCACAATGCAAAATGCTGCCATTACTATTGAATTTACAATAGTTGTAGAAATATTTGAAATTTAAATTTAAGAGTTATTTTTATTTAACAGACGACTACAATGTTTGCCAATTGTGTTCGCATCGAACGATGAAACGAATCTACGTGATTATGGGAGATTCGGTTTTCTGAATTATCGAGAGGATAATAGTAAAGATTACCGAGAGGATGGCAATAATAAGTGACGGTGAATTTAGTACCGTTTGCGAATGGTGTATCTACCGTTCGCTGGTTTGATTAGGCGGGTTGCGTGGAAATTGTAGATATTAATGTTTACTGCGCTGGAGGCATAATGAAAATTCAACGTCTACTGCTGCCAGGGGTATGAATAATTCAAGTATTATTAATTCGTTGTCTTGTAGCGTGCAGTTACATTTGTATATCGACCGCAGCTTAAATAGTGAGGAACATTAATCATCAGGCTAACGCGATTCAATCCCGATCGCTTAACTGTCGCACGCGCCAATTTTTCTGCGATTCTTTCCGATTATTCGTCTGGAGGAGATCTCCAATTTTGTTTCAAGTCTTAAATTTATGAACATCTTTTATAATTCATTAAATCCTTCAATTATATAAATCCAAACGCCCGCCGTAATATTCGCTACGTGAAATTTTCAAAATTCTATTCTTTCCGATCGTGTTTTACGAAAATATAAATTTATCAATTTCAACCAAGTTTGTCGATAATCACGAAAAATTCCTAGTAATCAAACCCCAATCATAGGAATTAATCCAGCAGAAACACGCTTCCTGTTTTTCCTTTTTTTTTTTTTTTTTT